CCCCCCCCCAACCCCCAGGCTTCCAGCAAGCTGGAGCTGGAGGAGCCTCCACACTCTTCCTGGGGCTCTGAGATTCCTGCTCCCTCTGGCCTTAAAGGGGCTCTCAGCCTAACCACGGACTATACCGGTCTCCTTACCATTTTCTGTGAGAGCCTGCCTCTTTTTCCTTTTAAGCCCTAGAGAGATGCACAGGGGCCCAGTGGAGTGTGTCCGGAACAGAAAAGTAGGGGCTCCTAGGGCACCGGTGTGGGGGTCCCAGGTGCTCACCTGTTGAGGTCCCGCATCATGTAGCCCTGCATCTCGGCCGATGGGCCTCGCAGCACCACAGGCTGAGGCCGGGGCCGCTCACTCTGACGGCTTGGCTGCCTTTGGATGTTGGGGTTCCTCAGAGCTGTGCTGATGTCATTGAGGAGCCGGGGCAGTGGGCCCAGCTTCAGAAGGGCTTCCTGGAAGGGTGAGGCTGTTACCTGGGGGCTAAGTGCCCAGCTCTAAGAGGACCTCAGAGGGTGCAGATGGAGGGTGTCTGAGCTGGGGGGGTGGGGGGTGGGCAGGGGGTGCTAAAGACACATCTGGGGACAGTAAGGAGAGAAAAATCTGTGCAGGGGGTGGTCTCTCAGGCCACAGGAGCCTCTGGAGACATCTGGGGATGCGGCAGAGGGGCATCTGCTGACCTTACTGAGCTGGGGCAGCACCTCCCAGAGCAGGGCATGCAGTGTGGAGAGCTCTCGGCCCAAGTCGATGTAACCCTCAAAGCTACTGCTGTTGGTCAGCGTGTCCAGGTTGGAGATCTCATACAGGAACTGCTGCATGGAACCCCACTCCAGCTCCAGAAACTCATTCATGAATCCCAGAAAGTCCTCCTTTGAGGTAAACCTGGCCAAGGCATCCAGAAGGCAGGGGTCACACACACACAGAAGGCCTCACACCCACCCGTCTCAGGGTCTCTGGGGACTCGGGAGGCCCTTCGTGCCCACCCCCGGCCCCACCCTACCCCTGCCTGAGGCTTCTCTCACTTGGAAAAGTTGGCCAGGTTCTGGATGACCTTGGCAATGAGGGTTAGGGTTCGTGAGGTCTGCTCATCTGGGTACTCCTGCATGAGCCCAAAGAGACTGGGCGACATAATGGCTGGGCAGAGGAAGCGCAAGAAGAGCGAGGCGCTGATCAGCCTGTCAGCGATGTCCTCCCGGCCCCGCTCTGCGCAGCGCAGCCGCCAAGATGCAAACACCTCCTTCAGCTCCCTCGGGAACACGCTGAGGGGAAGGGGTGGGGAGACAGAGAGAAAGAGAAAGAAAGAGAGAGACCGGGACTGAGCCCCAGAGACCCTCAGCTTCCAGGGAACATGCTGAGGGGGGTGGTAGGAGGTGAGGGTGTGGAAACAGAGTGGGGGAGAGACAGGGAGGGAGGGGCTGCAGGAGGAAGACGGGAGGCTGCTGGAAGAAGAGGGCTATGGCAGAGGGAACAGACAGATCAGGGAAAGAGAAATGGAGGGGGAGAGAAGGTGAGGGGAGAGAGACATGCGGGAGAGAGACGGAGGGCGTATGAGAGAGACGAGGAGAGGAGTAGAAGAAAAACAGACACCAGGGAGAGACAGAGATGGGAGAGAGATGGAGGGTCACTTGAGGTACAGGGAGCTCGGACCCCCCAACTCTTCTGGATTCCAGGGAAATGGGGATGGAGGTGCCCCTGCGTGACCCCCATTGCCCACAATGGCTCAGCTCACTCCCCACCTCCCCGTCCCACTTCAGTGTCCCACT